CTGCCAGGCTAATCCCCCATCACCCTCAGCTTTTTGTTGAGCAAGGCGCTATATGGAATGAAATGTCCCTTTGGTGAAGTCAGGTCATCTGTCCCAGCTGTGTCTCCCTCCCTGCTTCTTGTGCACCCCCAGCCTACTCACTGAGGGGGCAGGGTGGGAAACAGAGAAGGCCTTGATGCTGTGCAAGCAATAGCAGGTGTGTTATCAACATTGTGTTATCAATTCAGTCACAAATCCAAAACACTGCACTGTAGGACCTGCTAGAAGACAATTAACTCCATCCCAGCCAGACCCAGCACAACATTATTACTATCGTACAAAGCACAGTAAAGCTTACAGTTTTCCGTAACTAATGTGAGCCATGGCTTCTGCCATGAGATCTGCACCAGTGCAAGATTGAAATCTAGCTATAAATAGCTACAGTGCTAGCATCAGACTTTAGTTTGTCTTAAGGCCATTAAGTTTTATTATACTACAAACAATAACAATAGGGTGTGTAAATTAACATGCTAATTACAAGAATAGTTTTAGGCATTGACTTCGTCATATGGCTTTACTTGGGGCCATTGATCAATTTGTGTCAACTCCAGGATTAACTAGTGTCAGAGCTTTTGGGGATGTGGAGACCTTATTAATAGTGTGTTGTCAGGGTCTGTGTATCACTACAGCTTCTTTGAATGTTTAATTAAATATGATGTTTTAAATGAAAGAAGAACTTTGTCTTTATACATATCAAAACTGGCAAAAGATGTGGTGCTAAAAAGTGGTTGCATGCTGAGACCAAAATCGAAAACTATTATAAAGAATGAATATTTTGGGTTGTGAAAATAAAGTAAAAAGCCTTATAAGGGAGATATTTTAGAACTGTATGCAACCCAGTAGATGTAATATATACTATATAACTATATGGAGTTGGTAGCTAATGCAGCAACTGCTACTGATTAAAAAAAAAGCTGGGTACTTTAAGCTCATGTTGTTAGAATTTTAAGCTTGTTATTTTTCTAGTCAGACCAGTAGCAATTGCACTGGTCTGACAACATGTGTTGTAGATTTGTTTTCAGGAATTAATCAGGGATTCCTATTCTAGTTGGCTGGTAGCAGCTAAGTATGTCCCACAGGAATAACTCTGACAGTAACATCTAAGTTGGGAAAATGGGTTTACTACCAAAATAGCACCTAGATTTGACACCAAAGAAAAGCAGAGAGAAAAGATCAAATCCTAGTATTACTAGTACTAATAAAGGCATTGTTATCATACATCAATACAGTACTGAAGTCATATTCTGCATTGATTTCATTGCCGGTAGTTTGTATCACCTGTGTATGCTTATAAGTTTAAAACCAAGCAATTCAGAAATAAAGTAGGAAGTTTTTTAGTTTAAAACCCTACGGTTAGCTCCAGAATGCATTGGATCAATTTCTTAATCAAAGAATGCTATTATACTGGCTGTACTGAGTGAGTACACTCACCAACAAAACCTGTGTTGGTAAACTCTTAGGTTTTTGTCATTTTCAGTTTGGAAATGGTTCTTCCTAACTCAGTTAAAGACCTGTGTGGCTTTGATGTTGAACATTTCTGTAGTAAAGCATGAACTGACACATAAATGAAATCACTAATAAGTAAACAATTTAGCACATGAATACATTAGTGTATGACGGATGAGGATATATCAACAGAAAAAAACAACTTAAAATCATAGGGAGACTATCATTTTTTAAGGCACTTATCCAGTGAAAAATGTATATCAAAACATTATTATTACAACTTAATAATATGAAGAAGGCAGGTTCAAAAATATCTGGTCTCTGAGAGTCCAATTTGAAAGGGCATAAAGTAGCCTTATTTTTCACATATGGTGTGTATTTCACACATGCTTTAGTGTATTAGAACTGCTCAGGGAAAAAAGGAATTGAAGTGTAAGTCCTCTATAAGTATGATCTACAGTGATTATACGTAACGTGTATGCTTGCATATCAAATTTATTAGTTATAATTTTATCTTTCCTTGATTTTTGTTTAAACTTCCTTTTTCTTTTTTTCTTTTTTTTTTTTTTTTTAAATTGCTGCTATAGATTCTTCAGGGTCTTTCTGGTACCTTCCTTTCTGGAACTCTGAACTAAAAGACAAGCACAGTGGAGTTGCAGTTTCTGGCATCCATTGTTGCTATTGCTATCAGCTTATTCACTCATCATGAGCCTCTTTCAGAGTTTGGATACACCAATAAAGTTTAATAATATTGTAAGACTGTTGTCTGGCAATGTTTGTATGTCTAAGATGTTCAAGTCAATGTTTAACTTTGTTTATTATCATGCTTTTTGTTTGTCTGTGCTCAGCTGTTTATCATTATTTGTAGGTTTTCCATGTGCCTTTGCAGTTAATTTCCTTGATATTTTGCTCCTTTAATTTACATTTTTCTTTGCACCATTATACCAATGTGCATCTTCTAGCCTGATCACCTAAGTCTGAGAGAGATGTTATTTTTAAAATTCGGGAAGCTGATTCAATTTGATTAAAAAAGTACAGTTGAGCTTATTTTTCCATTGTCTAATACATCTCATACATTTTGCACGAGCCAATTTACTGTTGGACCATTTCAAATGCTACAAAAACATGTTGTCATTTATCTGTAATTTTTTTTTCATAATGTGTGCTTTTCTACTTGGGGCTCTCTCCTCTCTTAGTCTACTTCCTTCTATAAGCTTGATCCAAGTTGCCCTAGCTCCCTGCCTATAACATCTCAAGTTTCTTCATCTCAGCTCTGTACTTGCAGACAGGTCTATATGCAAGATATTGTGCTGGAAATACTGTGGATGGAGGGACCCACACTTGAATCAGAAAATGGGACAAATTTCATTGTACCTTCTCTCCCCAAATTTATGGTAGGGTAATTTCGGTTTTAATAATTAAATTTTAGATAAGTACAGAAAAACGTTTAGTTGGGAAGTGGTAGAAAAATAAACAAATCTTGGAATCAGATGAATCTGTAGTGCTTTTTTGAAATATATCAGCAAGTGCTCTCTAATGACTGTATTTTGAATACACTAGAGGCTGTAGAGTACTTTACCTCAAATGCCAATAAACAGGCTTCATAATTCTGCAGTCAGTTTCTGTGGGATGAAGGCATTCTGCAGAAAAAAGAATTTTCAGGAGTTAATCAGCTACTGATGAGAGATAGTTTAATAAGATAAGCCCCACATATGACGATCGAAAGAAAACCTTATTCTCTCATTTTAAACTCAGCCAAGGTGTCTGTGTTGACAATCACAGTTCTGCTTGAGTCATGGAAGTTGAATAGGCTAGGAGGATCTTCTGACAATGAGTTACTGCTCTTTTCTCTCAGCCAACAATTTTTAGATAAAATTGTATTGCTCTGCTTTTGACAAAATGCTTTTGTCATAGTTGCATATTGAAACAAAATAACTTCAGTTATACAACTGATGATTTAAACTAACGCTTAGTGTTATTTCACTGAGCGGGAGAACTTCAGGAATAGGAGAGGTGGGAACTTGACCCATCAATTCTTTGTTGTGCAGTTTGGCTCATGTTCAGCTGTGGAAGGTAGTATTTGAGCTCAGTACTTGTGTGGTGTTGGGGAACAAAAACCAAAATCAGGTTTGAATTCCATTCATCTTTCATTCAGGTCAACAAAGTCTTTCCAGCAGGATTTTTCATACTGTTTCTTTTATTCTAGTTTTAAATAAACAAAGGAGAGTGGCCTCACCCCTGCTGGGTTTCTTCTTTCCTGTTAACCATGAGTACAATTTTTTCTCTAGTCATCTCACTATTTTTTATTTTTCCTAGGTTTTTACATCAGCTTTACTAAATCCCAGTAATCCCTTTTTTCCACTCCAGAGAGTGGTTCTCCTTTACTTCATTTAAACCTTTCAAACAGTTTTCTTTCAATAGTATTATTCTGTTTTTCTGGATATGTTTTTTTTAAGCTGCGAGCATCTTTCTAGCTTAGCCAGATCATTCAGTAATGATCATAGAAAAATTGTCCTCTATTATTATTATTATTCTCTTTATTAGTTACTAGTAATAGTAGCAATGATAATAAAGTTTAATTATGCAGCATTAGCACCATCAGACATCCTATCAAGCTCTAGTTCTTGCTTAAAACTAACTAAAAGTCTTCAACAGCAGAAATGGGATCTAAAATTGAGGCTTCTTTTGGCACTTCTGCTTCAGACCTTGTCAAAGCCGGGGTTAAAGAACAATTGCAGTGGTTCTGGTCTGGCACCTGATCTTCCTCCCGCTGCCTGAGCTGCTCTCTGTTTAAAACACCTACTATCTGCTGAGAGCACGTTTGCAAAGAGACTGCCTGGCCTGGCGAGGCCTTTTGTATGGACCAGCTGCATGGAGGATACTACCCTTCCTATGCAAGCCTTGAATAATAATGATATGGTGGACTTGTGTGCTCTAAGGGTACGCTGCTTATCAGCAATGGATAACCACTACTGTGATGATTTAAATTGTAGAAATTACATTGGGAAGAATCAGTAGCCAGGACAGTGTTGAATTACCCTGTCTTGGTGGGAACCAAAATCTTAGGTTTTCAATAAAGAAGTATACTGGTGTTTCTTCATGCAGTGAGGTATGAATAAGCTTTAAAAAATTTCTGTTTGACCAAAGTAAAGCCTGACAGTTCTGTTGTTATTTCAAGAATATTTCTGGTAAACTGGATCAGGAAAGGATTTTTAATTGATTCTGTGGAAACTGCTTTGTTTTACTACTGATGGCATTATGAATATAGTTATTCTGCTGAAGACACAACAACAAAAAATTATATCTATATTTAAGAACATTTTCTGGTTTAATGTATTAATTAATATTTTGTGTTCTAAATACCATGTTATTTAATATTACAGCACGTATCCTATTGAACCAGAATGAAGATAAGTGCCATGTAAAGGAGCTTAGTCTAAATGATACTGTTTTTTCCCTAGTGTTTGCACTTTAAGAAAAATTGCAACAGAGTATTTTTTGCTTGCACCTTACAGGCTCTAACCAGAGAGTTACAGCACAGCGTACAAGAGCTGAGAACAAAAATCAAACAGGCAAAAAAAATGGGAGAAGTGAGAGCACGCAAAAAGAGCCTTTCCCAAGAGTCTGTTCAGTTGGCAGCGTCTATCCTTAATGTTTCAACAACTGATCTTGAAGAGATATTAGAAGTAGAAGATGATGAGGTAAGTTATTTTAAGGACTCTTCTGTAAAAAGCAGCTAGATCAGAAGATACTGTATATTTGCATTCCTGAGGAAAAAGGATTTCCAGGGTAAAGACTGGAATTTTATTGTGCAGCATCCACACAAAAAGAACAGAATGGTTGGATTTAAATAAAAAGGTCGGGTTAGAGACTCATAAGGTGGCAAGACTTCAGGCATGCATAAATAAAATATAAATATACTGTTTTGAGCGTGTAGATGTAGAGACATTATTTGAAAATCCTTAGTAGTTTCCTTTTTTGTGAGACTATTTGGCAGGGTTATACATCTTAAATAGACTTCTGCATTAATGAAAACAAAATTAGAATGTGTCTTGCTGTGCCAGATTGATTCCATTGATGCTTCCTTTCTTGAATTGTGATACCTATTAAAGTTATTTCTAGTAGACAGATGGTTTCTGGGGGAATCCATTGCCTTTTTTAGTTGGTTCTATCATACATTTTACTATGAAATATTTGATAGTGTTTCATCAAATCACCCTCTATTAAATAGAGACACTAATAGGATTTCTTATCCAGTTTTGTTTAGGCCTGATCAAATAATACATGAAAAACCCTGTGCACTAATAACAGTGTCTAGGAGTTGACCATGACTGGGCTGTAACTGTACTCTGGTGATGACTTAGGTTAAGCCTTATTGGAGCTTTATATTAACAGAAATCACAAAAGAGAGTTTTCACATTGGTTAAGTAAAGGTGCATTGTATGTGTATGCACTGGTATGGATTACATTCATGAATACAAATGAAATGGACTCATTCCTGCCCTGTTTACTAACATTTATACACCCCTGTAAAGTGATTCACTTTGGCGGAATTGTTCCATGCTTACCTCATTCTCAAAGTAATTTCTACATCCTGTATCTTTTGCAGTAATCACTGTTGTGAATATATGTGTAAAACACAGAAACATACGTAACTATAAATAGAAAACAAATTTAAAATACACGTGATGTATCTAAAATGTGTGGTATAAATTCATGTTCTATTTATCAGTGTGTAGACTCAGGAACCTTTACATTGAACTTGTAAAATTTACACATAGATCAGATGTACACCTGTATATTCATGTGAAAAGGACATGCTGTACACGTTTCTAGGGATACACACAGACAAAGATAGGTTTATAAATTTAACAGAGCCCTCATACTTGGTGGATATGTTTCAGGTAACTAGTTTTGCAAGCATGATTCCCACTTCCACATGCTGTTTAGTCAATGTATACCCAGTTACACATTTCCTTTATTGTTCATTATGCTCTTCTCGGGTGGCATCGAAATATTGTGTCTTTGTTATATTTTTCTGTTTTTAGGAAACAGCAAAGGCGAAAATGGAATTTGAAAAAGATAAAGAGTGGCTGCAGTATATACAGAAACTTATTGAAGCACAGGTGCTAAATTTGCATCTTCCCTTGATGAATTATAACTTTCTACTCTGAGCAGCTAAGTGATTTTAGTTTGTAATGAATCTATTGCATTTGTAATTATATTGCCATTGATGGTCCCAAACTATACTGTGATAAGGCAATGTAAAATCCTTGTTCTGTAGCGTTTCCTTTTTATTTCTCTTAAAATAACAGACACTGGATAAAACTGAAGAGATGTTAACCAAGGATTTGCGATAGCTAACTTAGCAGCTGAAACCAGTGAAACAATGCTGGAGAAAAACAGCACAGATCTTCGCAAATGTGTTAATTGAATTATTGGAACAGTGTGTAATGCTTGCTAGAGTGAAAAGGATCCATTCTTTCATGCCTCTTAGGAAGAAGACATTTTTTATTACTTGCCTTTAAAGTTAGTAGTTGATATGGACACCTGAGGAGTTCATGGGTTTCAGTGACCTTTTACTGTGGACCTGTTTCCAGTCAATTCATGTTTTCCTCATAGCCAGACAGCTGTTTATTATCGTGTCTTCTCGCATTCTCTACAATATTTTCTACTGAGACCTCGAGCAGCTTGTTAGTGGGAAGTAAATATTGATTTGGCATCCTGTCAATGCAGAAAGAATGAAAAAATTTCCACCAGAGGCCCCTCAAACATTTTCCTATCGACATTTTCTGGGCAGAGAGGAAAGCTGCATAGAGGATGACAAGGCTGAGACTAGCAGAAATCCCTGAGGGGTCCATTGAGACTGCCGCTGTGACCTGTGTTATACTTTTTCTTCTCTTTCAAGTCTTTTTTTTAATACACACAGAGTCTGCTGGGATGCTCCCCTCTTGTAAGTGATCAAGGGCAGTTTATTGGCAGGTGAGAGCCCTGCTTTTCTAGCCACAGTCAGCTTTTGTTTGGACATCACTGACAGCATACACTGACTCTTGAAACTTTTCCATTATATTTTAGTTGTCTCCTTTATTCAGATGATGGGTAGCTGATGTCTGAAAAGAAATAAACTTTGATTTATAAATCCAGTATTCCTAATGCATATTCACCAGCATGGGTCCATTAGCAATGTAGTTCATTTCAGTTATGAATGTGAATGATTGAAAATATTTTGAAAGCTATTTCAAGGGAACATTCACATGCAGATTTATATATTTTCTCATTAATAGCTTTTGTGTCTAGATTGTGTCCTGTGGCCAGATTTTTAAGAAATTACAGTTTTTCCGTCTTTCATTATCAAAACTTACTACCATTAAGACTGCTTAATTGCTGCAGTGGAAGAGATGGAAATACCAGTTTGCTTTTATTGGCTTTGTCAGAAATACTGGCATTTTAATTTAACCTCATAGTATTACATGGCGTTCAGCAGTAAAAGCACAAATATTTCTATTCACTAAATTGCCTTAATTTTAAGAATTTTTTTAAAAATCTATAAATTTCAAGATTCTTTCCATATTATGGACTCCAAAATAGGAATCAGATTCATGGAATATGATGAAGAATTCTTATTCTATTTTTTGTTGTCATTCTTTGGTACATCGATAAAAAATCCTAAGCAGAATTTTATCACTGCTCTTTGTCTGATATACACAGGGAGCAAAAACCAGGGCACAGGGAGTGAGGGTGTTCTTGACTATGTAACCAACTATATTAGGATTGCAAATGTTAACTAAGGATAGAGGAGCTCATTGCTCTCAGCTGTATAAGTTTGTGTACAAGTTAATAGTAGTTTTCAGCAATTTTTGCTTCATCTTGTGGGGTTCCCCAGGAGGAGCTCTGAGGGTAAAAGTAATTCTTGGCAAGCCGACCATCTTTAGAACTGCAAAGGGATTAGTGCTTCTTGGGAGCAGCCAGCTCTGCTTTTCATTTCTGTCTGTGCTAAGTCACATGGATGGAAATTGCTAAGATTTCTTGGTCTCTATTTGGAAGCAGCTCACGGAAGAGCTCTTTGCCCTTTAAAATGCTTAAGTCGTATCTTGTAGAGAGTTTGGTTGTAGTTTCCTTTGGTAGGCATTGGTAACAATTTTGATCAGAAAACTAAAGCTCATGGTGAAATGAAGGCTTTGTGTCAGGACTTGGCTCATATCAGACTGCACACTTAGTGTTTCAGGTTGGCAAACTGTGTACGGGTTTGCATCTTGAACAAAGATGCAGGCTTGCCCCTTTTCTATTATTCTGAGAAAATGTTCGGCTGAAAATTGCATCAGATCACTTAATATTGCAGTTAGATATAGTGTCTGTTTGTGCCATTGAGCCAGGACTTTGGAACATAATTGCCCAGCAGTATTGATTTAATTGCCTAGGTTTATTTGTGGACTCCTAATTATTGACTGGAGGTAAATTTAATGGGGAAACCTTTATGAACACTGGGAAACTGCTGCTGTTGCTGTTATACATAATGAACTGCATCATATCCCTTTAGATCATTCTTCAGGCTAATTTTATTCCACTGTGACAGTACGATAACATTTAAAATGTCATAGACATTTTATTTTTATTACTGACATATGCCATTTTACTGCTGCATTAGAATTTTGGGGGGGACTGAGGGAAGCACTAGTTGCTTTTTGCTGTCATTTTATAGATTCCCCTAAAGTGTAATGATAAAAGATAGCACACCTCTGTTTTATTCTTCATCTGTACCTTCATTTTCTGTACTCTTATGACTTGAAAAAGTCTAATTTCTGTCAGCTTTACAAGAATGTTAATATTTCAGTGATAAATATTTTTGCATTCCTGAGGCTCACAGACACCAGTCAGAGTTTGTGTTCTTATTTTATCAACTGCTGTAGAAACACATGCGGAGAAACTACACCACTGCTAAGAAGCTTACAATTTGATAGAGACATCTCTGCATCAGGATATTATTATGTAAATCAGAATCATATAATTGAAAAGTACAGTCATGTTCTGAATTCTACAGAGCTGGTAAAAATAACTTATTGTCTAAACCTATGTCTGGAATGGCCAAGTGTTTTTTCAGTTGCCTTTTTGTATTTGTACATTAACACCCAATGACTAGAGTGTTCTCACTAAAATATAAAAATTAAACATCTTAATAAATGACATTAGGATACAATGTAAAACGTTCACTTACCTATGAAGAACCTGTGTGTGGAGAGGCTTCACAGGAGCACATGCAGGTATCTGCTACCTGCACAGGGATGTCTGAGTCATGTATAGAGACATCAGAGTGATTATGCATTAGTGATTGGGCATAGGAGAGAGAAGCTGGAAGAGGTATTGCATTATAAACCATTGAGTTTTTACTGGTTTGTGGTATTTGGGAGAGGAGGGAACAAGTATGGTTATCTCAATATGTATGTGGGTTTACAGCTTGCATGGCAGGTGATGAAGCTTCTACTTACTTTCTTCCTCACAGCTGGGTGTGTATGTCTTATTATTTGAACCTGACACAGGATAGTAGCACTCTCTTTTTGTAATCACTTAAAAAACCTGACAAGCCACCAACCTTCTCTAGCTTTTTCCCATCATAGGAATCTTACATAGCTAAACCAAGAGAGTGACTTCTTTTCACATAACTTAAACAAGATTACTCGTACCACCCCAGACTTTCATTCACTGTGGCTGATTGTAAGGAACAGCATCTGGGAACAATCCACTAATAATTTTGTATGTGAGTACAGCATGTTAGCCCAATCCAGATTACTGCCTGATGTCTCCAAGAACTATTTTTTAATAAAATACGAATCATCTCCATAACTCTTCCAAGCATTGAAGCAAATGACAGCATTGATTTAGCATGTCCCTTATCAGATATACAGCGGCACTTGCCTTCCCTCCATCCTCATGTACTCCTCGGGATATCACATCTCACATAAGCAAAGGTGCCTAGTAACATCTTTCCTCTCATGACCTCATTATGAATCTACAAATCATATTCCAATGGTGAAAACTTCCAGAAAAATTCCCTCCCCTCTGTTCAGTGGGCACTTTGTAGGTGTGTGTATAATCCATCTCCAGAACAGGTTTTGGAACTGTATATTCATTCTTCATCAGTAGGGATCTTCCCCAGCCCTTTTCTAGGATTTGCACTGGCTTCTAAACATAGATTTCCGCTGGTGTCATCTGGGAATGTGCACTAACAGCTACGGTTATTTTCTTTCAAACTTCTTGGGTTGGAACTCACCTACTTTGCTTTCGTTAGTCTCTCCAGCCTGTGTCTGTCTTCTTTTTGAACAGGTCTCTGTTCATTGCCTGTCTTCTGCTCACACGCACACATATGTATTCATCAGGTTTTTCAAGTACCTGCACATTAAAGAGCAGCACCAGTGAACCATATCCTGGGGACCATTAATACTGATATCAGACCATCAGAAAGTAACCATGGTTTTCTTGTCATTATGAGAATAAGAGCTCAGTCCTGTGCATTGACAATCCATTATGGTATAAGTTGATGTTTTATCTCATACACACAAACAAAACCACATTACATCACTTTTCTTGGACTCAAAACAGGGAGAGATTGGCTTGATTACTCAGGGTAAGAGTACAGACAGGCACATATCTATTTATATAATCATGTATATACAGCCATCACAAAGTAGAATGGAAAAAGAGCAATAGTGAAGCATTTCTCTAATTTTTTTTTGTAAACTTTGACTTTTAGGTCATAGTGAAATTAGGAGGGTTTGGTAATTATAATCTGAGTTTCTTTAGTTTTATTTCAGGTTGTTCTTTGTGGTTTACTTAATTCAATTTGAGGCAGCTCTGCAGTGTGTTTAGATGGCTTGTTGGGCAGATTTATTATACTGATGATCCATATGGGGAGATGTAAAACAGGTGTAACCACTAATTTGTGTATTCCAGAAATTAGATCCTTTTATTTTTATGTTAACACATTTTAGACTTTGTGAAGCAGAGGCCAAGTAATGCTGTACTCTGTGAATGGAGATGCTGTGTCTCATTAGAATAACAAAATTGCCTTGCATTCATTATAAGTCTTTTCACTGGCAGATCAGTGTATATTTACGTACTTGTGCTGAGTGAGACTTAGTCATGTTAAGGTCGATATATATTACTAGTTTATTTTTTACAGAAGGGATCTCCAAAAGAAGTATACTCAAGGTCAGAATAAAGAGGTGAGAGAAATAGAAGTAACTGTCAGCATTCCTGACTTTAGGATCGTATTACTTTACAGTTATCCATACACCAAGATATCCGTCTGATAAGTTGTGTAAGAAATATGCCATTTCATTCATATGGCTTTCTAGTATCAAAGAAGAAATCTGTAATTCTTGTAAAGATAAAGAAATAAATAAAAATCTTTAAAGCCACATGTAGTTTGTGCTCTCAAATGTTTGGAATTTATACAAATTAATTAAATACTACTTCTCTTAAAGCCTACCATAATGTACTGATTTAGGATCGCTATTATTGTTAATGCGTAGTGTTCAGATAAATTGGTTGTGGCACAGATAACTGGAAAACATTTGAAGGAAGTGTCATTCTGTATTAAAATATATAATTATCTGTGGTATAAACAAGCTTTCACTCCTTAGGTGTGCACTTAGCACTCACTGAATTCCCAAAGCCTTTCCCAAGCATATGGCAGGTTTGGAAGCTGGGATGAATACTTTGGAGTAGAGACATTTTCAACAATTGTGAAGTTCTGGAGAGAAGTGTAGAGGGAAGCTTCCCAGGATAGTTACAGAGCCATCATTAAAAGTAAATCTGACAGGCTTCTGTTAAAGATGAAGACTGTAGAGATCTTCCAGTTCTGGGTGTCAGTATAGAAAGAAAACCAGATAAAAACATACAGCACTTTCTCTGCTGCATACCAACAAATGTTGAAAGGATGACATAATATTCAACTTTCAAATGCTCTTGATTTAAATTAATGATTTAAATGGAAAGAGTTCTTGAAAGATCACTTTGCTATGACATGGAAGCCACAGTGAGTAGTAAGCAGCAAGTAAAATGTAGCTAGAATGATATGAGCCAGAGACATCAATAAGAAACCATTCATCTTAGGCACAACATTAAGAAGGTGAAATGTATCAGAAATGAATGTAGTTCAAGCTAGGCAAGAAGAATTAAGAGGCTTTGAGGTAACAGTATACTGTTCTCATAAAAAACATATTTCGACAACGAGGGAGAGCAATTAGAATGAGTAGGATGCTGGAGTCAGTGTTTTTAAAGCACAGTAGCAAGTAAGTGTCACAGAATTTCAGCTTAAGATTATGTCTTATATTACTCTGAACAGATTTTTGCTCAGTGAATTGGATCCCTTTATTGCCCAAAAAGTCATCACAGTAGCATACAGGAGAAGGCTGACACGTGTAGATGACTAATAGAAAATTCTTGCCATAGACAGGAGTTATTTATGACAGATGGAGACACGTCTGGCCAGCAAGTACCAGCCCTTCAAAACCCTCCTTGTTGTAGAAAAAGGAAATAATGCATATTATCATCCTTTTTCTGTAACTGCAAAGTGACTGTTGAGCAACATGTAGGATTGCCATTGCAGTCACCTAATGATAGATGCTTGCTATTAACAAGATTTTCCTTGCTACATTTTTTTTTCTGACTTGTTAGTGATTATAAGTATCAGTATATAGATTCATATCTGTATATCAGTTCAGACATTACACCAGCATTTGTATTTGATGTACTTTTACATCTGGGGTTTTTTGTTTGGTTGGTTTATGTTTTTGTTTCATATATCTAGGAAACAGGCAGTACTCCATCTGGTATAAGTAGCATACAATCTTCTCTTTAAGTTGGAATATAGAAGTGAAAAAATAAAATCAGAGCAATGATACTTGAGTGTGGAACTAGAGAGTGGTTCTAGACATAAAAGTGTCGCCTTGAACTACAGTTGTTAAAAGCAGAGGTGACTGGCCTGCCTAACCAACTGCTGTATTTTACCTAGTTTATTTCTTGTGGCCTTATTGAAGTAAAATTCTCTCTCCTTCTGATATGAGCATCAGCTGTTGCTTTTGGTGTGGGACTGACGCGTCGGTCACCACTGGTCTCACCAGCAGTTCAGGAAAGCTGACAGAGTTCTGTGAAGCTGACAGAGACTTTCCAAGGGTGAACGAAAACTGTTCTGCTCTCCTCTGGCACAGCACCGACCACTCTGGGTGGAGCTGCAATGCCTAGTGTTTTGTACCACCTCCAAAAGTACTTCCCAGCATACAGCACACTGATGCACCAAGACTGTGAAAGAAAACCTCCTTAAGCGTTAAAGCAATGACACTGAAAAATATACCAAATCTTTCTCAGAAGACATCGACTGTGCAAATACATCCTTTATATCAGAGCAGATATAAAAGAGGCTTTCACTTTTCTCTAAATATGTAAATACATTTTTTTGGTACCATGTTTTAGAGGAGCAGATGTTTGTGTCATATCCCAGTCGATGCAATTGGAACTTTTGGGCTTTGGGGTTTTGTTTTGCTTTGGTTTTTTTATTTACAAGTTTTCACATGTGAGTCTAAGGCAGTTGCCACAGTATTGAGAGCTGTACTGGTAGTTCTATCTGATCCTCCTGAGAGTAGTGAACATACACTACCATTTGTGCATGCCCTAGAGATGACTGTAACCTTTTATTGATCAGCTGATTGAAGATAAATGACAGAGATGCTGGTACTGCAGTTTACATCATTAACATGGTCAGTAAAGCATGAATTGTTCAATAAGGCGTTTATCTTTTTTCATTTTACTCTGTTCTTTTATCATTTTTATGATAGAGAGCAAATTTTCAGACACTAACCAGGCAGGTGAACTTTAAAGATCAGACATGCACATGTGTCGTAGTTGTCAGAACTAAGAGAAATCTAACGGTTTAAAGATATTTAATAAATGTTTTTCACATGAAGAAAATAAAGTTAAATGATCATTTTTCTTACTATGTTTCTTTTTCAGTTTCCTTTTGCCTCATACTTAATGGATGCCATACTGGAAAAATTAAATGAGAAGAAGAAACTGGTAGAAGAATACAATTCTCTCATGAAATGTACTGTATGATATTGCTAAGACCTCTCTTGGCGAAGTGTGACTAAAATATGCGTGCTGTTCCCTCATGTCTTTTCACATAAAGAGCCGTCAATATGCATGTTCAATACATAAGTAGAAACTGTGAACTAATTGTTGAACAAGAGGAATTAATTACATTCCTATTTAGAAAAGAGTGTGGAGTTTGATTCCTGAAGACAAAAATTGCTGCAAATCAATGCAAAGTTAAATATTATTTTCCTTTAAATGCGTTAGCAGGGAACACCAGTGGAGGCTTTGTAGAGAAAGTATGGTTTTGATAGAACCAATACACATCTGTACAATTCAGAAAGTACAAAAAGCAGCTAAGTAACTCCTGGTTGTACTAGTCAGAGCAGTAGAAGTAGGATTTGGAAAGGAACTGGGAATATCATTGGGATTTTGAATACCTAATCTCTTTTAGCTTCTTTGTAAATCCAGCTTTATGATATATGCTACATAAAATGATATGCTCTCTTTTTGTTGGAAAAAATGAGAAAATGAATGATTGTAGAAATAGAGTACTCAATGTAGATTAATACTCCTGGGAAAAGCTGTATTTTCTTCCGAGTTGGAGTGTGTTGTGTACAATGTATTTAGTTGTATTTAAAAAATTCAATACAATAAATTTATTTCCACTGTGGGGTTTTTTTCACTAGTAGTCCCAGTTCTTTCTCAGCTAACACCAAGCTGCAAGCCCTCACTTTCCTTGGGAAAATGGTATAGAGTTTTAGTCATTACCACCAAGATTTATCTAGCAGTACTAACAAATAATTGCTCTTTCTTCATATCTTTGATCTTAAGAGTTTGTATTCCTCTGGACCAACCCACCTGGAAAAAAACGAAAGACCCAGGTTTCTGAATTCATGTGGTAATAACATTTAACTCTTATATATGACTCTTCACCTATGGATATCAAGTTGTTTTACAACAGATATCATTATCTTTATTTGTATTGGGTGGGGAATCAGAAGCAAGATCTGTTTCACCTAAGATCGCTCAAAAGAAGCATGAAACAGAAAAGTTTTCTGCATGTCAGTCCAGTGCTTTTCCTAGGATGTCACCGTGCTTCTTTTAATTTGTGGAGTTCATTAATTGGTGTCTCTAAGGGAAGGATGAGGAAGGGAAGACATTCACTAAACTTCTACACCTGATGACAACAGGGGCTTGAGCTAATTTTTATTGGAATTACTGAAAATCATGCAAACATATTCCACCTGCAGCTGTAGACTAAGACCTGGAACTAGCCCTATATAAAAAAAGAAACACATCTTTAGGAATGGTTGAACACCACTTATTCCAAAGCAAGAAATAGGGGACATCATATGAAACTATCAGGTGACATATTCAAAGCAAGCAAAAGGAAGCCACTCCCATGCAAAGGGAGTTGAGCTATGGAACTATCTGTCTCAGGGTTTTCCTGAAGCTAAAAATTTACATGGGCTCCAATGCCAATAAAATTATGCCAATAAAAATTACAGAAGATAAATCCATCAAAATACATGGAAACCGTGTTCATATGATTTTCAGTAATTCCAGCAAAATGTATTATTTTAAAATAACTTCAACATAATATCTATTGCTGGGCAGTGGAAAGAACTTCATGAGGCCAAATCTCTGTGAAAATTAGCCCTGTTGTCTTCATTTCCATGGTCTGCAAGACCTGCTGGTGCAAGTCTGATCTTAGCGCTTGCTGATCTTTCCTCTTAGTGAAAGAGCAGGGAACATCAGCTAATTCACATGGAAACCAAAGAACTTTTGAGACAATTTCCCAGACTAGTACCTTCTTTCTGTAACTTAAACTTCTTGCTTTACTGGCCTTGCAAATTTCTGTATCTCCTGGGCACCTGCATATGGAGAGAGCTCTCTTCTTGGACCAGGAGTAAACAAGAGCGGTGAATGCTGCAGAACCAAATTATTATTCACTTCATCTGAAGAGAGAGAGAGCGTGCAAAACAAAATCCTTAAACCCACGTGGAGCCAGAATTGTCACCATTTTTTTCAAGGAATGGAAAATACAGCAAGTGTTATTTATTTGCAGCCATTTCTTTTGTGCGTCATGTCACAAGAGACCCAAAACTGCTCTACAAAGAAAATTAATTCTCCATAAATCTCTGTGGCACAGACCTAAAGGGTGGAATTCATTTTCTCCCTCTTCTCAAAATTAGGGTCAATAAGCCTGATAAGCTTTCTTGGCTAAAACATCGTATTTGGACTCTACCAAAATAAGTTCTGCAGGATGTACCTCAGTACAGATACATCTCCTCTTTCTCTTCATCCAAGTCTTCTGCAATTGTCCGCCACTTCTCTAATGAGACTTTAACTCCTTGAAGTAAATGTTTACTCGCTAACAAGTGAGCCTGCAGAGCTGCCATCAGCGCTCGTGCTCCGTGGAAGAGGCGACGGCTCACTGGGAAAACGAGCGAGTCACTGACAGCAGCAGCATAGCACTTTGATCAAGCGAACAACAAGATTGCTATGTGGGGGCTGCATATACCCTTCCAATGAAGAAAAAACTTCCTTACTTGGTCCAGCAAAAAGCCTTTAGAAAAGATCACTGAAAAGACTTTTGACCTATCTTGTTGTCACAGGCAACAAAACAGCTTCGTGTAGGGGAATTTCCATCAAATTAATTTATTGGCAATTAACAAGCTTTTAAGTACTGATTCTGGTATTGAGAAAGCAAACAAATACACATGTACTTAGGACAGTCTCAGACCTGGTCCCACACAGGTCATCTGCTGCTGCCACCAACACCTGCCAGCTGGGCCGTAAATGGATGCTCTGTCCCTCCTGCTGGTGTGTTAACCTGGAAGCCTTACCGCTAAACAAACTTTAAGAAAAGGTCTCAAGTTTATACAGAGGAAGCACGTGGTTAAGTACTTGATGTAAATGTTGGAAAGAAAACTACAAAAATTTGCAGTTTGTGCATTATTTTAGCTACCTTAAGTATGCATGGCATCGAATGCCCAATTGCTGCTTCAGGATTTTGAGTGGGGTAGCAGTCTTTGGCATGGCTTAGCAAGCAGTCCTCAGAGAGCTGCTCTGGAGACCTGGCTGCTTTCTTTGGTTGTAGCTCTTAAGGCTTGTTAATCCAGTAGCAGAATGAAATGAATTCTCAAAATAAATCATGGCTGCTATAGTGTTGGTTTTTCAGTTTCTAAATTTAGAATTACAAAATGCAGTCCATTTTTACGATTCCTGCCTTTCTGCTCAGGGAAGCTGGTGCACGCAAGCTTTGTGAGCCATCAAAAATGCAAAATGAATGGTAGCCAGGTCTGTTTCATCAGTTCCTCAAGCAGCCTGTTTCTTTTTCTCTCTAATGCAGATGTGGAGAGCAGCTGAAGAAATTCTCACTACATTTTCTTTGCTACACCAACTTGTTCTTCTGATGCAGAGAGTATTAACTTAAATTGTGTATTTTAAGAAATGTTTTTAAAACCCTATCCCCAGCACTAATGTCTTGTTACTTCGGCCCCTCTGAAATATAAAAAGAAAACATTTTGAAAATGGGAGCGTGCAGACTAAGGGGTGTCTCCCCTTGGATTCTGGTGTATTTGGTGTTTCTTTCATGGCATTTATCACTTTCTTGGGTCAGTGGTGTATCCTTTATCTCACAAATCAGCTCCCAGCTTCCAAGAGCATCAAACTGGGGGACCAAGGCTCAGATTATAATTTACTGTCTCAGTTGTGCAGTGAAAATGCTGGATCAGCCCACCTGGATCTAGACTCAGCCTAGAGCCTGGGAACTCAGTGTCTGCCTTGCTGTGCTTCAGGGGCATCTTCCTTATGGGAGAGTCGGGGCCTGGGCATCGGTGACATGGCTTGAGTGCTGGCTTTTAACCTCCAACACCTGCCTATAGACAGTGCCACAGCACCCATTTGCAGCAAGACATAGGTTGCTATAGCAAACCAGTATAGGTAGCAGTCATGACCCCAGTCTTTAAAGACCATAGGACACCAGTCATCTGCTTATGAAATTCAACAGTAACTTTATCTGTTCCTCTTTGTACATTGTACCAAACAGGGTATTCTGAGTCACCAAGGAAGATGTTGCCAGTGAAAGAATACATGCATTGTCAGTACCAGTTTATCCCTATAAAAGCGTCTGGAGTGACAGGGCTGGGATGGGAGGAGGGGGGATTATCACTTGAGATAAAACCAGTGTCTCTGCTGAATACTTCATTACTCTCCTAAAATTATCAGGCCTATTCTGGCAAAGATTTTCGTCCTTCTTACATTTTAAATGGTGGTAGGTACAGTCTAGATTTTTAGTACCATTTTTTTAGGGTGAAAATGGAACCTAAGTACCCTAATGAGAAAAGAAGGGGGAAAAAACCCTAAACCATAAATTAGATTTTATGACAAAGAGGAAGAAATAAAAGAACTGTAACTACTTCACAGGTGCTCCTGAAATTATAGCACTGCTAGTCTTTCTGCAAACTTTGCTGGAAACGTTGCCAAATACCTTTGAAGATGTTTCTTAATGTTTTTAAATGTATTCTAAAGGTATTTCCAGTCAACATTTCTAACTTGTTATAAACAAATGAAAATGGAAGTATCAGCATTTTTCAGTGAAAAAATTTTCATCTGAGATATTTTTCTAAGGAGAATAAAAAGGCTGATATTCCCAAGAAAACACATTTTTACCTTTCTTTGTCAGAAATGTTGAATTCTGTCTCTACAATGAACATATTTGTTTGTACTGCTTATTTAATCTTTGCTCTACCAGCAGACAAGGAGAGGGCTTCTGAAACAATCTTTCTTACTGTTAAAGGATTAAAAGTACTTATCTTGATTATGTTTTACGAGTATTTAAAAAAAATCCCTTTTCGCTGGAACCAGGCTCAGCTCACACATGCATGTTACAAATTTAGCGAAGAACTGATTCGGTTTTGGAGAGAAGTATCAGCTCGACACTTTCAGGATAATATTGCCAACAAAGCTAAACATAAAAGATACTAAAGGCAGTGCTGTTTTGAACTAACTGTAGC